TGACATTGACAGCTGAAGCCTGTCAACATTATCCGTCCTTAAGCTCTTCCCCCCACTTCGGCTACACATCCATTACTTGTCTTTCAGGCTGTCATCAAAATGGCTAAATCTCTTTCCCTTTCACTACCACCACCTTTGAGTCCTCTCCAATTTCCCTACAATGTTAACTTCACTTGTATAGGTTTCTGGTGAGGGAGGAGAACATCACTCCTGGAGAAGGAAGCTATTTCTACCTCTGGTGGCACTAGTGGGGAGGCAATTTTAAAAAATAAAAACCCAGGTCCATGCCCATTACAGGATATAACTAACCACACCAAATCCTTGTCTGTTTGGTGATCAAGTTGCATCCTTTCTGTTGTGCCACCCATCGAGACAGCACGCAAAAACAGACACACACATAGAGAAACACACACTGGGCCTAACAACAGGTTACCCTACACCCTTATACACAGGCCTTGGCCATAAAGACAGGAGAAGCCAATACTATTGAGCACCCCTAAATGGGGCTTCCTCCGAGGATAACCATCAACATAGGATGCAAACTAAAATCATTAGGAATCTGTAAAAAATCCCCCTAGCACAATTAGACAGAGCTGGCAAGACTCCAGTTTGTTTTGCATTGCATTTGGTCTGCAGAAATATTCCATATCCTTGAAGAGACTCCATTTTCCAGAGAAAGGCATCAAGCTCAAAAGCCCCCAAAAGGGACCGGTACAAAGATTTGGAAAGAATTATGAAACCCTTTCCCCAGACATGGTAGGGGAAAAGGCAATGTGAAAGAAGAAGAAACACAAAGGAAGCTTGAATGAGACCAAAACAAACTATGTTTTAAGTATGTTTTTAAGTTGCCTGTTGACTTCCAAAGAAAATCCTGATCATGAACGGCTTTCTCTTTCTCTTCTATAGCCTAACCATGTGTGTTTCAGTTGTCCTTCCAAACACGTAAATATTATTGTTGGAAGCCTTCAAGCCATTTCTAATTTAGGTGACTCTAAAGAGGACCAAAAGGCTGAGAGAGTGTGACTTGCCCAAGGTTACCCAGGGATTTTCCATTGCCAACTGGGGATTTGAAGCCTGATTTTCAGAGTCACAGTCTGATGCTCAGGGCACTGCCTCTCAATGGCTCTCTCCAGTAAATATGCGTGGGATTATATTGCCGCCTAAATCCTTAGAATGAGCTACTTTCACTTCTCTGAACAGGAGGTGGGGAGAGTCATTCGCCCACACTGATTTTCAAGCTCTCCAAGAAGAGGTCATAAATAAAGCCTGCCCGCACAGTGAGTGCCCTCCATTCCACATCAACGTGCCCCACAGAAATTAATACATTGTCTAAAGGTGCCAACATTTCTCTCCCACCTCATATCCTTTCTGCCCTTCTTTTTATACCAAAACTCTGTTAATATGCCTCTCTCTTTGAACAGAACTTAACAGGTGTCCCTCCACGGAGAACATCTTGGCCCCACGAACGTGTTATAAAACAAACCCAGCAGACTTGGAAAATCTGTGATCTGACATTCAGGAGCCAAGCGATCCATGCTTCCCGTGCCCAAACAACCTCCAGAAAATTTAAAAAAATCTGGCTCCATTTTTAGTGTGACGGCATTCCATAACTGCTTTCAGAAAAATAAGGATGTATGTTCTTATTCTCACAGAGAGAGGACAAGGGGGCAAATCTGATCCTAAAGCTGTTCTTAACTGCCCAGAATTTTATGGAAAAAAATACTAAGCAAAAGTATCATTTCTATTTTTAAAAAATCAATCTGAAGCATGTTGATCTAGCCATGAAGACGACGCTGCCATATATAGCACTTGTATTGTGTTGAAATCTTTGCATGATGCATTTTAATATATGTAGTCTCATAGTATTGTATTTTATCTGGGTGTTTTAACTGTGATGTACCCCGCCTTGAGCTGTGAGGAGAGATGGGTAACTATTTGTGTGTGTGTGTGTCAGGAGAGACTTGAAAAAGTAGCTTCTGATGTGTGAACGAACTGGCTGTCTGCAGGGACATTGCCCAGGGGACGCCCGGATGACCATCCTTATGAGAAGCTTCTCTCGTGCCCCTGCATGGGGAGCTGGAGCTGACAGTGGGAGCTCATCCACACTCTCCCCTGATTCAAACCTCTGACCTGTCGGTCTTCAATCCTGCCGACACAAGGGTTTAACCCATTGTGGCATCGGGGGCTCCGGTAACTAATACAATGTACCACTGTAATTCAGAATTATTCCTAAGGTGCATCTCTTCTATAGAATGAATGTAATTTGACATCCCTTTGTAGTTTAATTGCCTAGTTCAAACTACATCCATCCTGCAGTGTAGAGGCAGCCCTACTTGGACGAGAAGGGCATTTGAGGTTGGCAGTCCTGGGTCTACAGTGCCAAGGGCTTCCTCTTGCAGGTTTTCCCTTCCACTTTTTTTTTGCACCACTTCTGCTTGGTATTTTCCTCAAAGGAGGAAACACACCTTTCCAAGACACTGATGCCACCTTTCCGTGGGTGTTTTCCCCCCACCTGTTACTGTCCCACTTGGAATAACTTGCATTTTCCCTTGGCCATCCATCTTTTTTAGATCACCCTCTCCTCCCTCCCACCAGCTTTATTTGCACCAGTGTTGATTGAACTGATGTTTGCTCAACCTCGCTTTCCCTTTATTCTGATTGGCCAGCAAGTCCCCCTCCTCTCCTTGTATTCCTGATTCGAAAGGGCTTTGCAAACCCCTTGAGCATCTTGAAGGAGAAACATCTCTTCCCTTGGTTGGGCATCTTTCTTGGCACCGCTCTTGATGTCCTTAATCCTTGCCATATTTATTAAAAAGCCAATCTCATAAGAGTTCGGTAGAGGACTTGTTCCCAAGGCAATCTGCACAGTGTTGCATTCCTTTCCTCCTTTGATTGCATTCTGTTTGTAGACGTCTATGTAATTCTCTCCAGGCTCAACCTGCAGGGTGGTCTACACTACACTGTCAAATTAATGCAGTTTGACACCACTTCAACTGCTATGACTCAGTGCTGTAGTTCTGCAAGGTCTTCAGCCTTCCCTGCCTCACCAAACTACAACTCCCATGATTCCCTAACACTGAGTAGTGGTAGCCACAGTGGTGTCCAACTGCATTAACTGTACAGATGCAACCTTCCTCGGAATACCAGAAAGAGGGGAGAGATCACAATGGGAGGGAGTGCAAGGCTATGGCTCCCAAAGCTTCCCTCCATCCTCAGGCCAGGAGATCTTAAACACTAGACTCTCAGTATCCACTGGGGTTTGCTTCCAAGACACTCCATGAATACCAAAATCTGTGGGGAGTTTCAAGTCCCATAAGGACAGAGTGAAATGCTGTCCCTTATATAAAATGCTTGGTGGATTGGGGGGGGGGGGGATCACTCAGGGAAAGGGGAGAATTATTTATGGAAGGGGGAGGGAAGATCCCTGTGGTGGGGGGAGAGAACTGGGTGGAAGAATGGGAATCTCAAGTGGGAGTGGGTGAATATCTCAGGTGGAGGTGGGGAGTTGTGGGGGGCTGAAGGGGAGAATATTGGGTGTGAAAGAGAGTAAATATCGAGCATGGGCAGGAGAAATCTGGTCTTGAAGTAGGGGGAGATCATACTAGGCAGAGGGACAAACAATGTGTGGAGAGCAGGGGGATGTCACATGTGGAAGTGGGGAAAAATTGTGTCAAAGTGGGGGGGAACATCTCCCGTGAAAGTGGGGGTATCGGCTCCTGTGAAAGTGGGGGTATTGTGAGCAGAAGCGGAAGAATATTGTGCGTGGAAGGGGAAAAATCACCCATGAAAGTTGGGGGGGTATCATGAGTAGAAGGGGAAAAAACTCACATGAAAGTGGGGGGATATGGTGAGTGGAATGGGAAATAATCTCCAATTAAAGTGGGGGAATAACATGCGTGGAAGAGGAAAAATCTTGCATGAAAGTGGAGGGATATCGTGAGTGGACGTGGGGGAATATCGCGTGTGGAAGGGGAAAAATCTCACTCGTGGAAGGGGAAAATCTCGTGTGAAAGTGGGGGGAATGTCTCCCATGAAAGTGGAGATATTGTGAGTAGAAGCGGAAGAATATTGTGCATGGAAGGGAAAAAAATCACCTGTGAAAGTTGGGGGATATCATGAGTAGAAGGGGGAAAAAACTCATGTGAAAGTGGGGGGATATTGTGAGTGGAATGGGAAATAATCTCTCATTAAAGTGGGGGAACAGCATGTGTGGAAGAGGAAAAAACCTCACATGGAAGTGGAGGGATATTGTGAGTGGATATGGGGGAATATCACGCGTGGAAGGGGAAAAATCTCACTTGTGGAAGGGGGAAATCTCACATAAAAGTGGGGGGAATGTCTCCCGTGAAAGTGAGGTATATCGCTTGTGGAAGGGGAAAAATCTCGCTTGTGGAAGGGGAAAAATCTCACGTGAAAGTGGGGGGAAAATCTCACGTGAAATTGGGTGGAAAATCTCGAGTGAAAGTGGGGTATCTCGTGCGTGGAAGTAGGGGAATATCGTGCATGGAAGAGGAAAAATCTCGCTCGTGGAAGGGTAAAAATCTCGCGTGAAAGTGGGGGGATATCGCGTGTGGAATTTGGGGAATATCGCGCGTGGAAAGAGAAACAATCTCCCGTGAAAGTGTCTGTGTGGGAATATCGGTCGTGGAAGTGGGGGGCTAACCCGCGTGGGATTGGAGAAATCCTGCGTGGAAGTGGGGGGAGCGATGGAAATGACCCCCCACCCCTACCAAATCAAGTCCCAATCGTGGACAAGCGAGGAAAGGGTACAAAAAGCGGGGAGGGGGAGGCTGTGGATGGGAGAAGCGAATGTTGAGAAGTGACGTCGCTGCCCAAAGAGATCCACAGAGGGAGAAAGTGGCGAATCCCACGCGTGGGGAGCAAGTGGCTTGCAAAAGGCAGTCTTCTCCCGAAGAGGCCCACCAAAGGAGCCTTGCCCTCGCCTTCCGTGGGAGGGAAGGCGGCAAGAACTCCCCGAAGTTTGCCCCCGGCCCGCTTACCTTGCTTGGCGAGCACCAAGGCGGCGTCGTCCCTCTGCACTTGGGTGATGATGGACCGGCTTTCCATCTAACAATCCCCCGCAGACCCAGGGGATCCCAGGCTCCGGAGGAGGAGGAGGGAGGAGGGGAGGAAGGAGGGAGGGAGAGGGGAAGGAAGGAAGGAAGGGGGGCGCAAGGCAATGGAGGAGGGTGGCCTCCGCTCCTCCTTCCAGCCCACAGCATGCACACGGGACTCGCTCCTCAGATCGGGTCCAACATGGAGGAGAATCCGCGGCGGGCGAAGCAAAGAAGAGAGGGAGGGGGGGGGAGGGAACCCCGCACTCACATCCACGCGCGCGCCACTGACTGAGGGAAGGAGGGAGGAAATGGGACGCGGGCAGTTTCCAGGCTCCCCGGCTCCTTCTCCTCCGGATAAACAAGCCGCCCTCCCCGGACCACCCTCCTCCTCCTCCTCCTCTGACAGATAGGATCCCGCGCAACTGTTGCAACAGGAACAACAAAAAGACACACACATACACGCCTTCCGATTTGCTTTTGTTATTTTGGTAACCCTCCTCAAAGCCCCTCCTCCCTCTCGCGCTCAAGCTCCCCTTCCTTCCGCGCACACACACGCACACACACAGATATGTACAAAGAGTGGCCTTGAAACCGCTCCGGCGCCCCGATTGGCTCGAGCGCGGGAGGGCTGGGCGTGGCTAACAACTCTACTATGCGGTGTTTACCTTAACAAACATTCCAGCCGCCGGAGGGAAGAGCGGAGCGTCCCCCAAAGCCACGCCCCCTTTTGGGAGGGAGGGAGGGAGGGGCAGCGCTCCCTCCTCGCAGGGCGGAGGCTCTTCTCCTCCCAAGAGGCACCGCAGCCTGGGCTGGCTTCAGAGGGCAGCGGGGGAAAAGGGAGCGCGCGCCAAACAGATGCAGGCAGAGAAAGGAGCAAGCAGAGAAATTGCAGATATTAGACACCCAACACTTTCTCGTTACTTTATTTTCCAGATCACTAGACTGGGCCATAGCAACGCCTGGCAGGGGACGGCTAGTGTGTGTGTGTATATATAGAGATACACACACACACACAATATATATATATATATATATATGTATGTATGTATGTATGTATGTATGTATGTATATGTATTATCTGTATAAATAAAAATGTAATATTCGTTTGTGCGATTAACATAACTCAAAAACCACTGGACGAATTGACACCAAATTTGGACAGCATACACTTAATTTACTTTATTTATTTATTTACTTACTTACTTTTCTTATATACCGCTGTTCTCAGCCCGGGGGCGACTCACAGCGGTGTACAACATAGAAAGAACAAGGTTCAAAATTCAAGACACAATATAAAATAATCCACAATCCAGCATTAACAAAAAACATCATCATCAAAAAACATCATCATTACTACAAAAGCCATTCTGCGTCGTCTCATTGTCCAAACCACAATCCAGTATCATTTTCCGTTCCATTCCTATAGTCATTACCAATCATTGCACATCTTGTTCAAATGCCTTCTTAAACAGCCAGGTTTTTAGTTTCCTGCGGAATATCATTAGGGAGGGAGCTAGCCTGATGTCCACGGGAAGGGTGTTCCACAGCCGAGGAGCCACCACCGAGAAGGCCCTATCTCTCGTCCCCGCCAGCCGTGCCTGTGAAGCAGGCGGGATCGAGAGCAGGGCCTCCCCGGAAGATCTCAAAGTCCTGGTGGGCTCGTAGGTCGAGATGCGGTCGGATAGGTATCTTGGGCCAGAACCTAACAACCCAATGTATGTCTTTCACTCAAAAAATTTGTGCACTGTGGACTCAAACAATGGTGGATCTGGACCAAACTTGGCATGAATACTCAATGTGCCCAAAGAACACAGATGGAGTTTGGGGAAAATAGACCTTGACATTTGGGAGTTGTAGTTGCTGGGATTTATAGTTCACCTACAATCAAAGAGCATTCTGAACTCCACCAATGCTGGAATTGAACCAAACATGGCATACAGGACTCCATGACCAACAGAAAACACTAGAAGGGTTTGGTGGGCATTGACCTTGAGTTTGGGAGGTTTTTCGGGGCTATGGCCATGTTCTAGAGGCATTCTCTCCTGACGTTTCGCCTGCATCTATGGCAAGCATCCTCAGAGGTAGTGAGGTCTGTTGGAAGTTGGAAAATGGGTTTATATATCTGTGGAATGACCAGGGTGGGACAAAGAAATTTTGTCTGCTGGAGCTAGGTGTGAATGTTTCAACTAACCACCTTGATTAGCATACATTGGGCTGACTGTGCCTGGAGCAAACTTTTGTTGTGAGGTAATTAGATGTCCCTGCCTGCTTCCTCTGTTGTTGTGCTGTTGCAATTTTAGAGTTTTTAATACTGGTAGCCAGATTTTGTTCATTTTCATGGTTTCCTCCTTTCTGTTGAAATTGTCCACATGCTTGTGGATTTCAATGGCTTCTCTGTGTAGTCTGACATGGTGGTTGAGAGTTGGGAATTTTAGTTCACCTACATCCAGAGAGCACTGTGGACTCAAACAATGATGGATCTGGACCAAACTTGGCACAAATATTCCATATGCCCAAATATGAACATGGAGTTTGGGGAAAATAGACCTTGACATTTGGGAGTTGTAGTTACTGGGACTTATAGTTCACCTACAATCAAAGAGCATTCTGAACCCTATGAACAATAGAATTGGGCCAAACTTCCCACACAGAACCCCCATGACCAATAGAAAATACTTAATGCCATCCAGACCAACCCCCTTCACCAGGGCAAGAAAACGTAATCAAAGCCCTCCTGACAAAGAGCCATCCAGCCATAGATATATAGATATATATGATTCACACACAGAGAGATATAGTATCATAGATTTGAAAGGGACCCCTAAAGAAGGACAATTATATGTTACCTGTTCCAGAGTAGGCAAACCAGACAATCTCCACATCAACACAGACAAAGAAACAGCAAGAAATATTGTTTACCCACAAAAATAAAGAAATTACATATATTAGAAACCAAGACTTTCTCATTATTTTATTTCCTAGATCACCAGATTGGGCCACAACCACACGTGGCTAGGGTCGGCTAGTATATATTATATATATATCACACACACACACACTAGCCGTCCCCTGCCACGCGTTGCTGTGGCCCAGTCTGTGTACATGTGTTTTTGTGTGTATGTGTGTGTATATATATTTGTGTATATATGTGTGTTTGTGTATATATGTGGTTTTGTGCATGCGTTGTTATGTATTCTTTTAGCTTTTTAAGTCCCTTCCACTGTGTTTTTCAGTGTTTTTATGAGTGATGGTCACTTGTTGGCCTGTCAGGTGTGTTGTGTCCAAATTTGGTGTCAATTCATCTAGTGGTTTTTGAGTTATGTCAATCCCACAAACAAAAATTACATTTTTATTTATATAGATACACCCACGTCTAGGATGTCCCAAAAACTGCACTGTACATTGTGAAAGGGGGTATACGTTTTTGGGACATCCTGGGCATGTGTGTGTGTGATATATATCTTTAGGCAGAAAGTGAGGACATTCTGCATATAGAGAGAATCATATATACACACCACAAACACACACACATATAGCTCACTCACGGGACAGTCTGCCTTATATGTGCATATAAGCATACATTTACATATAACATACATCCTGATATATGCACATAGACACACATGTAGGATGCCCTCAAAATGGAAAAATCCTTAAAACAGTGGTTCTCAACCTGTGGGTCCCAGTTTACCAGCTGTTAGGATGTCTGGGAGTTGAAGGCCAAAACATTTGGGGACCCACAGATTGAGAACCACTGCCTTAAAGGCTTATAATCCTGGGGAGATTTTTTTTGGGGGGGGGGGATTTAGTTCTTTAAAATGTCCATTTAACGTCTTGTAATAATGGAAAATTGTGTATACATACTTAACATCTTATAATTCCTGAATTGTTTTCATCATTAAAATCCTAATAGTAGAGAAGTGTTGCAAAATGGCAGGGGAAAAAAACTTAAGGGAGATGTTCCCTTCTACGTTAGAAATGGCAGCAATGCATGGCTGCGTGAAGATACTTTCAAGAGCTGACATAATATAGCAACTGAAGGCGGCATTTGTAACTCTGATGAAGTTGTCATTGTAACATTTCTTCTCCAAGATAAATGTATTTACTTAGCCCAGCTGTTTCATTCTTTTTATACTCTGTATATGCCACTAGGCATGGGAAAACTAAGGCCTGGTGGCTGGATGCAGCCCCCTGGGTGCTTACCTCAGGGCCTTCTCATTTTCCCTGTCCTCTTAGCATAAGGACACGGTGACCCACCACATCCTTATGCAGAAAGGATGGGGAAAAAAGGCACGCAGAAGCTGAGAGCCCTCTGGAGCACTCTCAGCCACCACATGTGTTGTTTTCCTCCCGACATAAGGATGGGGTGAGCAGCTCTGAGGTCTCTTGGAGAGATAGGGCGAATTATAAAGTTGTTATAGGATGACAACCTGAGGATGACCTGGACCCTGACCTGCCCCCACCCAGCTCCACCCCCTCACAGGCCCTCTCCCTCCTGGGTCCTGGGCCCATCTCACCCAGCACGGGTCGACCGCCCTTCCTCCCAGCTTGGTCCTCTCAGTTGGGCCCACAATGCAGCCCCAAGGCAAAAACGTTTGCCCATGCCTATGTTGCCTGGGTTTCATTAAGGCTGTTGCTTGCCTACTTTCTCCCTTCTCCTACTTCACAATGTCTCTTTGTGTCTCCTTCCTCCTTTCCCCTTGTACACATGTCACATTTCTTCTCCTGTGACATCACTGAGGGCCATTTCACCTAGCAACAGCTTTATGGTACAAACAGACAGACAAATATGTGTGTGTGTGTATAGGAGTTTAATGGTTTAATATATAGTTATGTTATTGTTTTAGTTATTATGCTAAAACAATAACATAACTATATATTAACAGTTAATTATTATGCTAGGAGCCCCCGGTAGCGCAGTGGGTTAAACCCCTGTGCCGGCAGGACTGAAGACGACAGGTCGCAGGTTCGAATCCGGGGAGAGGCGGATGAGCTCCCTCTATCAGCTCCAGCTCTTCATGCGGGGACATAAGAGAAGCCTCCCACAAGGATGATAAAAACATCAAATCATCCAGGCATCCCCTGGGCAACGTCCTTGCAGACGGCCAATTCTCTCACACCAGAAGCAATTTGCTTCTGACACGACAAAAAAAAAGGTATTATGCTTTGGTTTTGTATATACGTTGGCATTGAATCTTGCCATCACCTGATGTACAGTGCTTTGAATCCCCCCAGGGATGGGAAAAGTGGTATATAAATACAGTAAATAAATGAATACATAAATAAATATCCATACTTTGACTCTTGTTTGTTTGTTTGTTTGTTTGTTTGTTTGTTTGTTTGTTTAGCCGGCCGGCCGGCCGGCCAGATAGATAGATAGATAGATAGATAGATAGATAGATAGATAGATAGATAGATGCATGCAGAGAGGTTCAGCACTAATCGGTGCAGAGGCCAATATGAAGAACAGCCCAATTCTTTCTTGTCGCCAGATGTAGTGTTTGTTTGTTTTTAAATAAAGGGACCAACCAAAAATCTCTCAACACTTTCTAATGAGTTCT